AGATGGGAAGCATATAGCAATCAAGGCCCCTTTAGTGGAACCCAATCATATATAAATAGAAAGGGATTTCACTCCTTAGTTTTACAGGGAGTATGTGATGAGAAAATGTGCTTTATTGATTGTTACATTGGTGAAGTTGGCTCTGTTCACAACTGCACAATATTTAAGAGATCTGAAGTGTATCACAGAGTTTGCAGTGGTGATGGCTTTCCATGTGCAGATTTTCATATCATAGGAGATGGTTCATACCAACTTTCAAAGCATTTAATAGTCCCCTACAGAGACAATGGTTTTTTATCATCATCTAAAATTATGTTTAACAATAAATTTTCATGTCAACAGACTATTGGGAGAGCATTCGCTCATCTAGTTGGTCAGTTTAGAAGGCTGAAGTTTTTGGATATGTCTTGCATGGACTTAATGGTAGAACTTAATAGCTGCATGTTGTACTTTACATAACATTTGTTCTACAGAAATTCTACATAACAAGTTCTACAGAATGATGAATCAGTATGGAGTAATGATGAAGAGAGAGTAGAAAATGGAGTGCAAATAACAGAAGTGGAAGAAAATGTGGCAGAGGAGATAACATATGAACAAGACTGAGAAATAGGATATTTAAACTTTAAAATTGTTTAATCAATTTTGGAGTTGGAGAAAATATTTCAATAGCTGTCATTATAAATGTATTTCTGTATTGTGAAAGTTCATCCAAATAAAAATAATAGAGATTTTTGTTGCAAATAACATATCAGAATATATAAGCCATGAGTAGCAAAATCTTAAGTTTATAAAAAGAAACATCACATCACTTATATAAGTATAAGTAATATAACTAGGCTGTACAGAAATCACAGTAAGAGTCTAGAACAGTGGTGTCAAACTGGCAGCCCTCGATGTGATTTTTTTGGCCAACAGCCACAATGCTGTGAAATTAAATAAAACAGCTACAGATCAAGATTAACTGATAAACATATATCTGCCATAATGAAGATTGTTTGTTCTGTCTTTGAATCCAGATATTGGAAAACTAGGAGGAGGAAGATAGCACTGGCAAGTTTCACGTGAAAACAATTAATTTTAGTTTTATAAATATGTACAGTACATTAAATAAAATAAATGTTTAAATAAAAGCAATACTATAGCAATTATATGTATATTATTGAGTTGAATTCACTGAACTACATAATGTGTTTTAATTGCTCTATCTATATTCCTGCATTCTCACTTCAAATTATAATTTTAAGAAAATTTGTAAACGTGATGTGGTCCGCATGAGTGTTGCTAGTCGCTGTTTAAATGAGTTTGATATACCTGGTCTAGAAGAACCATCTGCAGTGTGGCCACTCTGGATATAACAATGATTCAAGAATAAGTTAATCTTTTATATAATCAATTATTTATAAAAAATTTATAAGTTTTCAATAATCAATCTGCATCTGAGTATTTGTTTAAGAGCAATTTTATATGATTTAAACTTCCAATAATAATTAGAGATGGACAGTAGTATTAACTAACTAGTTTATCTACATTATTAGTCAACTACTTTTTATGTAGTTAATGCCCATCATTAATAATAATTATTAGATAATCATATATTAGCAACTTTTCGTACATCATTAATTTAATATTTTGTTTTTAATTTAATTTTAATTATTTTAATTCATTTATTTTTCATATTATGGATTATTTTTCCAGTTACAGGGGGTAAATTTGGAGATATAAAACATTAAAAGAAAAAATATATAAATATACAAATTTCTTTTAATTTTTAAGTTAAATCGATATAAACAATAACATTTTTTAAAAAATTCATTATTTTAAATTATGTAAATTTTTTTAATGGTTTTATTAATTTCAAAATCAGAGGTGGACTTCCTTGAAATAACTTTGAATAAAAGATCTTCCATCAAGTTATAATCAATATGTAATAAAATTTTGCCACAGATTAATTAATACAGTCGACCCCCTATAAGATATAGATACGTTCCAATTTATTAGGAATCCGATTTCTTACAAGTCGTTCCAATCACAGCCCGACACGTGTCAAGTTTACGGACTACGGCTGATTGAAAGGTTTTCTTCCATAAAATTAATCGATTCTACACTAATCCGACTCAACATTTCCAAAATACGTATATTTTTTCGTAGTTTTATAGGAATCGTAATTATAGGGACCGTAATTATAGGGGGG